ATGGTCATTTATGGAATAAATGCGTACTTCGTTAAATTTCAATAGGAATTTGTTAAAAACTTTGTTACGACCCAACAAGTGGATCAGTTCGGCTGAGATTTAGTATAGTAGTATAGTATAGTATCTTTGGCATTGAAGAATAGGCCTGGATTGGCCTGTCACCGATTTTTGTACTTTTCTTGACTAGTTCACAGATCTAAAAGACTGGCCTTTATATCAAATCTTTTCAACGAACCGTAGGTTCAAAATCGTTTCTAGATTTCAGTTGTTCCGCAGTATACGAGTATGTATGATATACCTGATATCATCACGATCGTTAGCTGAAACGAGCCAGGGTAGAACCTGTCATGGAAAACTTGACTTCATTGTGGACTCAGAAAAAACACTATTTGACGTAGAATTTCTCACCTCAAGTTACGCACTTTTTTCATAGAAACTTCGGTATGGAATTTTCAACCGGAGATATCTCTTGTTTTAGAAACCCAGAGTGAAAATATCTCCGGTTATAATATCCAGGCTATCGATCTCTGCTGGGATGAATGGATATATTTGAGAAGCGTGATTTCTTGCTTCATTGACGAGTTGCCTTGAGTTACTAAATGAAAGTTCAGCCCTCCACAACACGCCCCAAGTTTCATGGGCCATTGTATTATCCAGAAGTTGTGTTAAGAATATCAGATTTCTTGTGATGCCGGCCGTGGGTATCTCGACACGCTCTGTGGGCGTTACAGAAAAGGTTGACTAATATTTGTTAAAGGAAAGCTTTGAAATTTCAAAGCTTTGACATTTCACTTGGAAATCTCATGCAAATAATTATTATATTTCTACATCTCATTTGATGGATTATTAATTACCTATTAATAATTTATCCTGCCGCTAGTCTACTTTTTTAAAGTGGATTTAAAGTGGATTCCCTCAGATGCAGACTTCCTCGTACGCGTGGTGTACGTGTGCACTCTTCGTACTTCTGCTGTGCTTGTCGCTTTCTCAAGCACAGCTCAACTTTTCCCCGGGATGGGGAAAGCGATCAGAAAACGAGCAGTCAGACTACACAGGCCTAATGGAAAGTGCTGGCAACCCTGATAGGCCTAGAGGTGCGTCGCAGTTGATTGATGTCGCCAGAACTACAACTGGGACGGACAGCGATATTGGCTACGGCGATTGTGGCATCCCGTCAGTTTCGACTCTAATGAAGATATTTCGGATCATCAAGGTACGGTTTATTTTCGATTCGATTGAAAAATTCCCCTTGATATAGGCCGCGTTCGTTCATTTCATTTTATTTTCATTATATGTACAACATGTACTTAGAATAACTGGTATAGTATTTTTTATTTTGTTAAGTTCGCAAAATATATATACTTTCTTTCTCTCTTCTACGTGAGCATACACTCTTAGGTTTAGACAATATTATCGGTGCCTTTTAAGCCTCTGACTTTCTCCTTTAAACCTGACTTTCGTCTGTTAAGTAACTGAAAATCCTTTTAGAATAGAATAGAATAGACGTGTCGGGACTGAAGAAATAGGCCCATGGCCTGTTTTCGGTCAAAATAATTCTCTGATTTTCTTCTTTGAAGTAACTGAAAATCATCATCAATCTAACTAATTCTCTGACTTTCTTCTTTAAAGTAACTGAAAATCTTCTTCAGTCGAAATACATCTCTGACTTTCTTCTTTAAAGTAACTGAAAATCATGTTATTAAAAATAATTTTCTGACTTTCTTTAAAGTAACTGAAGATTATCATCAGTGAGAATACTTCATTGAGTATCTTCTTTAAATTAACTCAAAGTTATCCTGCAGACTGAAGCCCTTCGGATCTCTCGGTGCCGCGGCAACTAGACAGCAACAGCAACAACAACAACAGCAACAACACTCATGATGACTACGATTAAATTTGCCTTGAATGAAATCATTTCACGATCGCTCATTCATAAATTATGTTGTTAAACTATTATTTCCTTAAAGTAATTGTTTCAGAGCTTTTGAAACCATTCATAAATTATGTTATTATTTATTAGACTGTTATTTCCTTAAATAAATTATTTCAGGGCTTTTTGAAACTGATGCAATATCATCATCGGGGTTATTAGGTTCACTGTATTCATTGAGGTTATTGGGTTCTTATTTAAGAAAGTCATTATCCTCAACTTTTGTTTTGATGTGAGCTGCTGGAGACGCAGAGGTTAAATTCAAGGGTAGGAGTCGAAATGACTAGAGGGCAGACTGTAAAATATATGCGTGAGAGCTTAACAATTTCAAAAGTTATTCGTGATTCACAATTGTATTTTGTTCGAAAAAAAAAATTATGGGCTCTTTACATCAAAGGCGTCATTCCTGTAGGTAGTTATATTATATTCTGCTAATTCAAGCTTGGTGATATTTGGTGCTAACAGTTTAAGAAAATCATAACTTCTTCGGTTCACTGAAGTGGGAATTTAATAGTAGTGAAATATTTAAAATAATTTTCTAACCCCAAACGTATTTAAATTAATTTCAATTCGTTTTTCTTTAATGTTTTAAATTAAAGCTTGAAATTATTTCAACTGTTTTTCAACCGTATTTTCCGACCGTACTTTCCAAACATAGACCCATATTGTTTGAATAATTTTTATTAAACCAATATTCGTATTGGTTTTCATCATTTTGGAGAACAGTTAAATATTTCGCTCGTATTTGCTCCATAGTCGCACAATAACAGCGAAGTCGCGCTTTCCTTGTTATATATTGGAATTATCATATTTTGTTTTAAAATTTGTTTTTCCTTCACGCTTTGCATAAATTATTTTCATTCAATATAAGTGTGTGCTTTATTAAGTCATGGCTTAAACATATAATGTTTCCATATATCAGCAGCTATACCAGGCGCATCCAGTACGTCCTTGTATTCTATTCTCCGCAGTCGAGAGGATTAAGTCGCAGTCTAGTGACTATATCTACGCTATGAAAGCACGAATTAGTTATTTAATTATTAAATATATGATATTAATCATCAGTTGACGTGCTGCGTGAGGAATTCATCACAAAGAGATAGCGGTGGAACGCTCAGGTCATCCTCCCAAAAATGGCGGAATAAATACACGAGAAGAATGATATAATTCAAGTTTCAATACCATGAATATGTGCTTGTTGATCAGCTTATATTGATTAATTGGCTTCACGAAGCGACAAGTTTATATGGTAGGTAATCAACAAAAAATCATCCTATCATTATTTGATGGAAAGAGGTTCAGTCCTGGGTTTATTGTCGATATGTGTCTAATACTTGTAAAATCGTTAATAATTAACCTAGGTTGAATTAAAACTTATAAAGAGACGAAGACGATGTCCAGAGTTTTAGGATTGGTCACACATTGATTGCAATTACATCTATAGTCATTTGCGTGTCTCCTATTATAAAGCTTCCCGCCCAGAATTTAGGTTGACATTCATCAGTTTCTGCAGGGATGATTCAAACCTCAACGTATAAGGAAAAACAGGCAACAATTTTCTCTCTAAAGTTGATCTAAATAATAAACTTCATGCAAGTTGAACAAATCGTGATTCTGAACTTTTTTTTTACCGCGGTGCTGTGTTCATCGCTGAATTTTTATTGAATATTTTATGAATTTAATTGACAAATAATTGCATTGGTTCATAAAGATAGGCGTACGTTAATTTGTCAGATCGTTTTTTAGGGATTGATAAAGATTACTTATATGTTTTATCCTGTTGATTTATGAGAAGCCTCGAAGGTTTGCATATATATTTCGTACATTTATTTACATTAGGACAAAAGTGAACGGACCGGCATGGAGTAAGGCCATTCTCAGAGAAATTAGTGGGACAAAAAATAGCGAAGCACTTCTTGTCCTTGTGTGGACCAACCTGACACACTATAGAGTGTGTCACTATTTAGACAACATGACATTAATTTTTTCGAGTGCATGATGTGGTTGGGGTCTTATTCGGCTATGCGTATTCTCCCGGGACAGTTGGGCTATATCGGTCTACTTCTCATCTAATTAATGAATGAAGAAAATGCTATATGCACTAATCAGTTTTTTATTGTCATCTTAAACCTCCCTTGCTTTAGTTTTCGTTAGCTAACGGAAGAGGAAATAGTTTAGACATATGACAGTTAAATAGGTAAAAGTACTAGAATTTTTTAACGAATATATTTGTAAGCATCTTATTGTCAATGGCTGGTTTAGATTTATTAAGCAATCAAAATAATTTCAATAATTATGTAAGTTTAAACATATTATAGCTTCAATAGAAGCTAATGACACAGAAACACACAGAAAGACGACTAATTAATATTAAAGGCACTCCTATTTTGTGAACGCACTCAAATCTGCTGAAAATAACTGACATAAAGTGCCACTACCTTTGAACTTTGGCGATCACATAGAGAACACTCGCGTTGGATTTGTGTGAACCTCTGACGTCATCACCTGTTTTATTTCTCTATTGCGTAGTTATATTGATATTACATAATATTTGATATTAAATAATATTTGACATTACATATTATTTGACATAACATAATATTTGACATTACATAATATTTGATATTACATAATATCAAGTCAACGGCACCACTTCTCACGCCTCTCAAAAACATAGCAAACGCATCCAGCGGTTGCAGCAACATCAGGCAAACGCAACAACGTCCGGGGCTTCATTCATTAAATTCATTCTGCTCGAACGCAGGCTATAAAAATATAGTCTTGAACTATGTTCCCTTGGAAATTTCGATTTTAGCATATAATGTAGAAGTTTGTACTCTAAGATGTTATTGCTAGTAAGGCATGTGCCTAGATATTGGTTTGTCGAGAATTTGGCTCCTGCAAACCATTCGGTACAGACTAGAATGATTCAGTGTTGATGTGGAATATTTGAACATAGTTCCATCAAACGAACATGAAATTATTGTTTTTATCTCCAAAGGTCACGGATCATGAACAAATATATATTTAAAATTAACAATAACAAAATAATATTTAAGAATATGGACTACCTGACTTATGGTTCATTTCATTAAAAACTTATGAGAATAATTCTGTCGACACAGACAATCTTGCTGCAGTTGAACCAGTAACGGGTAACTCTAATTGATTGAACCAATTATGAGTTGAACCATTTGATTAAACCAATAACAGATAAATAATTACGACCTAAAAACTCATGACAACCCTCAAGAACATGTCTGGCATTACAATCATATCGGCATTTGAATCAAGTAATATTTATAGGCAACATGAAATTCATCACTAAGAGGCGCCAATTTCTCTGACTAATCGAATATTTGTGTTCTGAACTGCAGTTCAAATGTGCCTTCTGGCTCAGTGCTCGTGAGTTACAGTTCAAATGTTTCGCTCACAACAAATTGACCACAGCAAAAATTAAATAATGTTCTTATGAGCAGGTAAGGCCATAAATTTCAAATTAAAACATCTAGCAAAGCATTGCATTATTACTTTCAGCAGTTTACACAGACTCGACTATACTGCACTCAAATACTGTCGTTAAAATGAGTATTTATAGTTCACCTATAACTTTGGTCAAAAAGAACATAATAATAAGTACAAATGTTAAAATTTGTACATATAACTAATCTATTTACAATGTGCATAAGAAACTAAATTCACAAACTGATTGACTACATTGCTCTGCCATTGACGGCCCAAGGTTAGCTCCCATTGGTCGTCTGACATTCAGACAAGAAAGACTTCCCTAATAGCTTTGTAAACTAGGAGGCTTGACAATTTTTTTGACTGAGTTGGCAGTTGCGTTTGTGTTCTTATAATGATCCATGTACCTGCTCTTGATATTATGCAGACTGGGAGTGCCTGGAAGTTTTTTTGTAGCGGCTGCGTTGTGGTGATTTTTAGAAACTATGTTTGGGTCCACTTGATTTTTTGAAACTTTTCGTTTGGGCGTTGGTTTGCCTAACCGTCCGTAACCGCTGTTCTTTTTATTCAATGTCATTGGTGGCGGATTACGAATATTATGTACAACTCTCTTAGGCTTGAACTTCTTTCCGGAAATTTTGACGAGTTCTGATTCGTCTAACTCAGAGTCGGCCCAGACTCCGGAATCATTTGAATTAATGCTCACAGTTTCAAATTCGTCATCCCCAATGGAACTTTCATTCGAACGTGGTCTAGGAATGCTTTGAATCAAGTTCTCTGTGTCAAACCTAACATGTTTCTTTGCTTTTTTAGGCTTTTCGTTAAGGTCTATGGTTTCATCGAACTTTTCTTCGACTTCCATCATTTCACGTTCATCAATTTCGGCAACCTTATTGGGTTTCTTCTCTTCTTTCACTGACTCCGGTCTTGACTGTAGGCCGCCGGCTTCAGAGTCTATGTGCCTGTTGTTTAAATTTTCATCTTCTTCGGCTTTTTGCGCCATAAGAGCCCGGTTGGCCCCCATGATTACTTGCTCCGTGAAACTTTTTTCGTCCTCGTAGTCGTCCTGCAGTTGTGCGTAGTGTTTCTTAGGCACGATATCCTCACTGATGTCAAACTCGCCTTCGAAGTCCGTGAACTCTTCGCTGGGCATGACGATATCGCATGACTCGTAGGAAAATTTGGGCTCTGGGTTTGCATTCTTGTTGAAGCCCAAGAGGCTCTTGTGATCGCTCACCTCCGCGTAGGTTTCGTCCACGGTCCTGATTTGGAGTCCATCATCCGTCACAAATAAGACTGGGGTGTTGAAACTGACCATATTCTTCTGGTCATTCTTGGTCTTTTTGCTCGTGTATTTGAGTTCTGCGAACCCCGAAGACTTGGGCGTCTTCATGAACGTAGAATTCATGTGCTTTGGTGAAGTGGCATCAATTGTAGCAGGTCTGCAACACATGATCAAATTTTCACACTTCAGCCTCACGTCTTTAAGTGAAGTAAAGATGATGATGGGGACTAGCAAATCGAATATAAATCGAAACCAAATAAACACCGTCTCATAAACGGGCGTGTTGATCATCTCAGGGATATGGTTGGTTGTGTTCGTATTTGATGTGTTTGCACCTGACAATATTTGACCAGATGGTTCAGTTTTATTGAACCAGTCTTGCGAAAGAAGAGGATCCAATGTGATTAAAAAGGCAAAGGGAAGCCAGAAGATGAAGTAAGCCACAACAAGGGCCATCATGCAGAGCGACGGGTAGATCTCGTTCCTGTAGTACGGAGTCATGAGGATCTGGTCGAGGTACGTGTATGTTTGACCACCCTTCACTTTTTTGTGCTTAGTTTTCTCAGTGTGGAAAATGTAGCAAGTAATAAATAGGATAAAGAATAGCATGAATACAGGGAAAATAATCACGATTATTAGCCGCACGATGAGATACTCATCGTCTCTGCTGTCTGCTACACTGCACGAATATCTCATCTTGTACGGCATGCTTGAGAACCCGACGACCACTGGCAGTGACAAACTCAGACTTATCAGCCATGTCAGCAAAATAAGAGCTGTCACTTTGTTCTTAGACATACTCAAGTATGGGGCGAATTTCCTCAGGACCAGTAATCTGTCCATCGCGAATAGTGCAATAGCTAAAATCATTTCCAGTGTGATGAGAAGCATGAAGAATGAGTTGATATAGCAAACTGGATACCCGAATTGCCACGGTGCTGTAGAAACGTAAACTAAGGCGATAGTTAGGTTCAGAAAACAGTCTAAAATAACAACAGAACAGATGTTCAGGATTAACTTCGAGTATAATAACTTCTTCAATGAAAAGCTTGTGATTATTGTAACTATGATCATGATTGATAAGACCACTGACACCACGAATATGAGAGTCAAGAAAACAGCCGCTATTATGGGACCGGGATCTTCTGGACATCGTTCATACTTTTTATATGGTACAAGCTTTACACTTTGGTTAACCAAGGTAGGAATAACCTGAATGGTGATACGGTAGCCGTTTACACAGGCCGACATGGTGAGTTTTTGTGACAAATTCTCTTCGATTGCCGATTGGTGGCTAACACCCCTTTCGATTCCGTTAAATATTTATTTCATATTCTTGATTCTCTAAAATGTTTTCTCAATGCCAAAGTTAGTCTACGAACATGTACACATTTAAATGTTTAAATTTCATAGTACTTGATAAATAAACCTGAACTTGAATAGAAAGTATATATATCACGGTGTTATATTTTCAGAAGTATTTGAGAAAATTACAATGGTAATGAAGAAATAATCTAATTACTTCAAATTTCAGAGTTTGATTCAGAACCACGGTTTAGTCCTGGATTTGACTCCTGAAATCTTTTCGATATTAGTTCAGTGATTTCCGTATTTTATTTATTAAACATTCTTCATAAAATGACGTGTTCAAGTAAAGAGGCTCGAACGGATTATGCGTCGACGGAAGTTACGAATATATTAGCTGAGTTCAGTAGAGTGAAGCACGAAGATCGTCGAACGAGTTCAGCAAGGGAAAGTTCCCAGAAGTGACGTATGCGGGAGGGTGACGTTTTCAGGATGGTCATGTTCTCAGAAGGGTAATGTTCTTCGGAGGGTAACGCTCTTCAGGGGGTAACGCTCTTCGGAGGGTAACGTTTTCTGCTGGAACGTCCTCTGGGCAGTAACGTTTTCATGAAGAAACGTTTTCAGAAGGGTAAAGTTCTCAGGAGGGTGAAATTCTCAGGAGGGTGAAGTTCTCAGGAGGGTAACGTCCTTCTGTTGATATTGGCGAAGGCTGATCGTTGACGCTGGTCTTCCATTCAGCCCTGGAAACTCCACCTGCAAAAACAGGATCAGTTATAGTGCCTCATAATAATAATGAATAAATTAGTAAGCAGAAACTGAAACATAATATTGCCTCACAATCTACACATACAAATTAAATAATGAAATATTTCGAATAAGAACTTCAAAGATGAGTCCGTTAGTCTTTTATATACGCTCCAGAGTAGAACTCGATCAATGATGGCGTAGAACAACCAACGCTGCACTGCAGTTTGGGTCAAGGCCTCCGACCTGACCGTCAGTTTTAACAACAATCAATACATAGTATATACTGAATACATAGTCTATACTGAATACACAGTCTATACTGAATACATAGTCTATACTGAATACACAGTCTATACTGAATACATAGTCTATACTGAACACATAGTCTATACTGAACACATAGTCTATACTGAACACATAGTATATACTGAACACATAGTCTATACTGAACACATAGTCTATACTGAACACATAGTCTATACTGAATACATAGGCTATACTGAATCACATCGGGGTTGGATGGCAAACTATTACCTAAAAAGAGAGGTATCCCTATACGTGTGTATATGTTACGTTATGGACGAAGTAGAAGTAATGGTGGGAGAGAAGTAATGATAATGATAATGGTTGGATGCCAAACTTCTATCCAAAATGAGAGGTAACTTAACCTGTGTGTTCGTAGAATTATACATACATATGCTATAGCAATCTATTAAAAAATATTAACATATATGTTATAAGTAACATAAAAAATCGCATTATTTGAAATATTATTCATGGATTACAGATATGATTTGTTAGATTTTAATTGGTTCCTTGGTTTTCGACTGGTGTCCCCCGCAATTCATTTGTAGTGCATAAACTAATATTTTGAACGTCACGCTCATGAATTTGTCACCTCACGTTCATAATTTCTATTAATAATTACAACTTTTAGAAATTACTGTAGATTGGAAATACTCGTATCTTGATGACAAAAAATTATAGAGAGACAGATAAATTTTATCTCTCGTGCCTCAATATCTTCAAAAGTTAACTCGAATAATTATGAAAAATTTTACGAAGCTCTGTTATAATCAGTTAAAACTTCATTTATTTGGATTACATTACTTAAAAGCCGTCGCCCCATAAAACGTGATAGCTGTTATTGGGCTGACGTTGATGTTGGGCACACGCGAATTTACAGGAGTAATTATGCACAAAATGGAACGAACCGCTCACTCTATGACATCGCTTTCCAATCTGCACTGCAATAAATCAAACATTACTGAAGAAGTCGACACAAACCTGGGAAAATTATTGTCATGGTGGGATTAAATAAATCTTGGGGGATTGAGCGAAGACAATAAAATTTACCATCGAAGATAAGATTGATCATATCGCTATTTGAATTGTATACTACGTGTATTCTAATGTAAAATTCCGGGTGATGTAAAACGTGACAAAATCACTCAATTTTCTCTGTATGGTTCAAGATTAATTATGACTCACGCATTAAAACAACTTTTGAAATGTAGGCATATAAAAGCGTTCAATTTCCAGTTAACAGAATAAGTAAATATGCTTAATTAAAGCCAATAAATAATTATTTTATTGGGTTTGTGTTCAAGTTCATAGAATTTGCATTACATACTAAATCTCCGGGAGTTTGTCCGATTTTAGAAGGTCTCGGTCAAGTGGGGGTTAGGGTAGCGCTTTTGTTCCAAAACGTCGTTTTATTATTTCAGTTCTATTGTGGGAGTCTAGGAAGACTAGTAGCAAACTAGTTAGAGATTGGACTAATAGCTAACTAGTTGATCACCAAACTAGTGGTAAGCCAGCTAACGACTAGACTAATAGTCAAGTAGCTAATAACTCATCGTTGGTCGAAAAAACATAGACCTAGCAAATTGAGCGTAATAGATTCACGAAAAATAAAACATTCTTCGAAAGTTTGTAAAGTTCTAATTCCGAAATTCCGCGAATAAATGATATCTTAGCTGCAAAATCCCTAGAGTTTCAGTAATGTACACGAAAATGCGTAGCTACTTCGAATGCATATACTCAATTTTTATATCAAGCGAAAGTACACACCAGATGAAAATTACCTAATTACTTTACTTTAACTCATTACAGCAGTTAATGAGTTATGTTAACAATCATGCGGTACGTCTGATAATAATCCATTCTGAGATCCTTACAAGTGCGCTTGTTAGAGGCGGGAATTCAAATTCTTTGTTTTTGCATCAAGATACCTGTGTGAATTTGATATATTTTATGCAATATTTATTGCAACAAATATTTCATGAGAACAATTAAGGAAAGTATCCACGGAATTAGCGAACTAGAAAACACGACTAATTTCTAAAAATGTTACCATTTCCGAAGCTTGACCATATCCTCCAATTCCACGAATGTTATTGCGCCATCGGTAGCAATAACATGATAACATTGATTATTGCAGTCAATGATATGAATTATTAACTTGTTTTCGGGGTATATCACGCTGCTGCTTGGACACGTGGAGATGGTTCTGTCTTTACAGATCTATCTGTTTTCGTGACATCGTCTATTGATGCGCTACTATAAATAAGTTAAAAGAAGTCCTGAATATAATTTCTTAACGTTAATTATTCTATAAATTCATTTCTTTGAAGCTGAAACTGATGGTGAGATTTTTCCAGTAAAAAAAGTTAAAGTTTTTGTACAAAAGTATTACTCAATTACTTGAATAAATGTTATTAAGAGAAATTCAGTATTTCGTTATTTTAATTTTATTTCTCGCCCCTAAGAATATAAGAATCATGAGTAGTTTATCTGAACGTTATTCCAAGCATTACTCTTCAACATTGACAAATGTTCGAGCCGGCGAGCAAAGGTTGAGGTAAGTCATGAGTGTGGTTGTCAGGACGACGCCATGTTTGTGTACAGCCTGCGACCTGCACTGCGACGCCATGTTTGTGCACAGCCTGCGACCTGCACTGCGACGCCATGTTTGTGTACAGTACAGCCTGCGACCTGCACTGCGACGCCATGTTTGTGCACAGCCTGCGACCTGCACTGCGACGCCATGTTTGTGCACAGCCTGCGGCCTGCACTGCGACGCCATGTTTGTGTGCAGCCTGCGACCTGCAGTTTTTTCTCGTTCACAGTTCATTTATCTAACTAATTTATTGACTTCGACCAAACTGCGAATGAAAAAGTTTTAGTTCCTGACAAAAATCAGCTTCTGTCTGATGATATTTGATGACAAAATAATTATAAGTGGGAAGGGATGATTACCACAATGAGTTGTTTTGAACCTAAATTCCTCTTCATAATACCGGCTTTACTTGTTCGATAGTAAGGAACAATAAAGAAGTAATTTGCACATAACTTCAATATACTGTGTTTAGCAACGACCCGCATTTGTTTAAATGAAGGTGGCATGAGTCAATAATAAGATAGACACTGCAAATGGATAACTCTCATTTGATGGAATAAACTTCTGTAGGATATGCTGATCTGCCTTTAATTCAAAAATTGAGGCAGTTATTCGCACCAAAACTCTGAACAGTTCATTAAATAACATTAATAATATCACAAATCAGGAGAAAAGTATAAGAATATTTTAACAAACCTCGCATAACTCGTCAAAAGATAACTCACTTAAAAACATACATGTGGAACATACCTCCAGATCATACCTCTAGATCATGCCTCTGGATCATGCCTATAGATCATGCCTCTAGATCATGCCTATAGATCATACCTCTAGATCATACCTCTAGATCATACCTCTAGATCATACCTCTAGATCATACCTCTAGATCATACCTCCAGGTCGACATGTACTGCGAAGAGTTCTACTGCCGGTCGCACGTAGCAACGATTTTAGTTAAGTTTTCAATCAATTCACTGCTCGCCGAGTCGTTCAATTAGTGTTTTCACAACATGAGCATACCATGTGAACTTTAAAAATAAAATTAAGATAAAATCATTTAATTACTGTTTGAATTTTTAAATTATTTCCGATATTCAACAAAATTTAATCGAGAAGTAAATTTCTTACGAAATTTAACAGAGAGTGAGACACGATAACCGTTCTCAACGTAAAGCTGACCATCACTGGAAAGGTGGAACGAAAATGTGAGTTTGTTGATTGGCTGCAGCTGAGCGTGACGTCACGAGGGTCACGCTGAGCTGCGCTCTGATTGGCGCACGCGCGAAGCGAGGGGAAGTGCGGCTATCGATATAATCTAGAGTGCTTTCTTGTTGAAACTTCTTGTCGATATTAGCGAATCGTGTGCCGAGCCTATTTATAGTGAAGCATCTGGTTTTATTTTCTAGCCAAAGCAAAGGTCAAGCATCTAGTTATTATTTATCTAGTAAATATAATAGTC